ATTATTTCCTATTTCTTCCTTATATTTCTTGTGTGGTCCAGAGATATGCAATTAAGTGGATTTTATTTTGTTCTCCAAAAATTAATCAAGATACGAAAACATTCGAGTGATAAAAAAGTTGTATTTTTAGTTGCTTAATTAAAAAATATATATAAAAATTACGAAAAAGTCAGTGGCGTACATTTTTTTTGTCAAAAACATTCGCTAAGGTACCGCTCGGACGCCGCTGGACTTAATAAATCTAATCAAATTAAGGTAAAATTAGCCTCTTAACACTACAAATAACACTACCAAATTACAACAAAATTGGGTAAAGGGTATTTAAGATTAATCGTCTGTTGAATTTATTGTATTGTATTTATTGTGTGTATTAACACCCTGTATATATTTTGATGATACGAGTATATGAAGTACCTATATCACATTTTTAAGAATGACTTATTTACAACAATTAATTTTAAGACTGTTAGTACTAGATTAGTTACTGATATTGCATTGCATTATGATAAATCCGTTTTAAATCCATACAAATATATGCTGATAAAACGGCTATAAATTGTCATTGTTTGTTATCACTTGATCACTTGACTGTTCTTTTACATATGAACATGACTAATCTTATTTTGTGGCTAAAAATTTGAATATATATGATAAGCATCTAAAAAGAAAATTAACAAAAAAAAATATAGATTTATTAGCTATAAATATAGAAGTAATTTTTCTTACAATGAACACATTATTTATAATTCCACCTGGAGATGGCGGTGTGATTTTAATTTTGAAAAAATCCGCTAATGATTATTACTACTTTTTAATTATAGTACTTATTCTGTTACGGAGAAATATTTTTGTCTCGTATATCGATGAAATTGAACAATTTATTTTCAGTTTTACTTCGACTTGATATAATTTTTACACTTTTGAGAACACACTGTTACTGTTATTTGCCTTACCTTTAGGTTAGCAGTAATCAAATTACATTTGAAACTAGGCTTTATGAATTATTTATATATGTATTTTCTTGTGTATCGCAAAGTGCCTGAATTTGTATATTTAATGTTCCTTACACTTCCTGTCCCTTGCATATACAGAACGTCTCAAATTGTGTAGACAGACTATTATCCTGCAATAGAACCTCTGTAAATAAAATAAAAAGTTTCAATATATTAGGAATGTTAGTACGCACATAGGTGGGCTCATATACAAATGGTTCAAGTTGAAAATCATCTGAAAACGCTTTTTTTTCATTTCCAAAATGTCTAAAGATAAACATATATAAATATTGGCAGGTATTACATTAATTATACTTTACAAGACAAAATTATTATTAGGAATGATTACTATACCCTTTACAGAAATAATATTCTTTAATATTATTCATTTTTATGCGTATGTCTACAAATGATTTCAACTTCATTTGTCATGGGGAAAATAAAACTTAATATTTTTTATGAGACAGTAATTAATATAGAAGAAGTTCTTGTTTTAAATAAATAAAGAATTGTCCCAAGAAGTGCACAAAAACATATATTTCTTAATTTGAACAATCTGTACAGGGTGCCTTTAGCTCGACGCCCCAATGATATTACAGGGTAACGAAAAATGTTACTGACAATTTGAAGTATGAAGTTCAAGCGGCTTGGATTGCAGTGCATTTTGCACCAAAAAGTTTTAGATATTTTGAAAATTGTGTTGATGACGTCATGAAATTTATTTTCCAGTAACATACATGTATTTTTCCATATTTAAAAAGAACATATTTTTCCGATAAACTTTTAATTAAAAATTTTTCTCTATCTATTTTCATTAAAATGTTATGATCAGAAATAAAAATAATAATTACAAACGCTTTATAACAATTATTTTAAAATTTACTGCTTGGTTAATAGTAGGAGGCCATTGAAAGTTTTCATACAAGGCTTGCTATGATACTGTTAATGATGCAAGTTGCCAGAAGTCCTTGATATAGTAATATTAAATACATATTTAAAAACTAAACATGTCTTTAATTAGCAACAAAGAAAATAAAAACAATAAGAGTAGAACAAAAAACAAGAAGTATTTTACATATACAGGGTGTCTCAGAAAGACCTCCCGTAAATTCAGGGGGTGATAGTACGACAAAAAATAAGAATTTTTTTCATATGAACTATATGTCTATTTTCTCTTGTTTTGGAGATACAGAGCGACAAAATAAAATTTTTTAAATAGAATTTTCACGAAAATTTCCAAACGGTGCGAAATATTTTTAATAAATTTGGTATTCCGGGGTTTTTAAGGACGCCAAATACGCTGGTCTAATTATGTTGTGTATATTTTATAGATGGCGTTAGTTATGCTACATTCGAATTATCGAATTACATTTTAAGTTCTAATGTTTTTGAGGTTACAATTTCATTTTCTAAAAATAATATACTCTTGTTAGAATTTCCTAATGTGGACGGTTTTCGAGAAAAAAGGCTTTTAATTGAACTCTTATAATATTACGGTGTAAAAAATAAGTGACTTTTCTCAAAGTAGGTTTATGTCAAAACTTATTGATGGATGCCTCATAAACAACGCATACATTCTCAGTAATATTTTAAACTTTAACTTTATATCAAAATTTTAGTGACTGTAATTAGTTATTACTAACTACAGTCACTAAGAATCACTAAAATTTTGATATAAAGTTAATTAGAGTAAAATATTACTAAGAATGTATGCGTTGTTTATGAGACATCCATCAATAAGATTTGACATAAGCCTACTTTGAGAAAAGTCACTTATTTTCTACACCGTAATATTGTAAGAGTTCAATTAAAAGCCTTTTTTCTCGAAATTATTTCTAGAAAATAAAATTGTACGTTAGAAATTGGAGCCCGAATGGTAAAAAACCTAATCTTAAAAAAAATTAGAACCTAAAATGTAATAGGAATGTAGCGTAATTTTATGCAAAAAAATCGTTAATAAGCAATTTGAAAAAAAGCAAAAAATTTGATTTTTCTGATTTTTTTTTACTTTCTTGGCTCTAGTTATTTTTTTGAATAAAGATAGATTGCTTCATAGAAAAAAAAAGTAGATAAAATTTCCTTCAAAACGAGGTTGTAAAGTTTTTTGGATGAAAATTGACTGAATATGGCCGCTCAAAATTTTTCGTTTTTGGTCGCGTTTATCCTTATAGATTTTAATTCTCATTTTTTGCAAAAAAGGAAGGAAATAAGACGTTTGAAGGGTCATTAAAAATGAAAAAACCGCGGGGTGCTATTAAATTAGAAGGTTGAAATTGAAGATGTGAGTGAAAATTCACTTTTACAGTTTTTTAAATATAGCACGAAAACGAAGCAAAATTTCGGTATAGTTCATAGGAAAAATTTTGTAGAGAATTGAATTTCTCATCAAAATGGCTTGTTTAAAAAATGTAAAAGGAAAATTTTATGCAAAAAATCGTTAATAAACAATTTTAAAGAAAGCAAAAAATAAGATTTTTTGATTTTTTTTTTACTTTTTTTAATAAAATAATTTAGTAAAACTTGAGAATTTAAGTACAATAAAGTTTATTAATAATGTAAACTCTTTTATTTTTGACTTTATCGAAAATTGTCATTCTTTATCCTTTCGAAAAAATGAGACTGTCATACAAACATCTTAGATTAGATATACAGGGTGCTCATAAATTAAAAAAACACGAAAATACTCAAGAGAGAGTACCATTATTTATCATTTTACACAACATTTTTATAAAACAAATCTGTTTATAACCTCAAATAATGTCCTAATACAAATTTTAAAATCAAAATTTCAATTTTTGAGGTGGGAAGTAGCTATACATATACAGGGTGTCCCGAAATTCACACAACAAAATTTGGTCATAGATTCTTAAGACAAATTTAGAGGACCCGTATTTTTTCTTTTTGCCAACTGGTCCCCTGTTTCGGAGTTACAGCCCCCTGAAATCTGCCCTTAAGAAGTTTCTTTTATATTTCAAAACCATGTTGTACGAGAATCACTAAATTTGGTCCACAGGGGTTTTATGAAATGTGGAATCTCACAGTGCTACGCTTTTTGGCGAAAAACACCCTTAAGCCCTTAAGCCCTTTCGTGGGCCCCCTTGTCTTTGGAACCAGAAAAATTTGGTCGCAAATTTGATTTTTTTAAAGATTATTGGTTAGCTAGAAAGCCATTGAATTTAGAAACTTGTTTGTCTCATTATATTTGTTTCGTGAAACGAAATGTTTTTGAGGAAATTAGCGAATTACGATATGTATTCGATCACATTTTGACATTTTTCTCGAAAACATTGCGTTTTACGAAAAAAGTATAAAGAGACAAAAAATTATTCCTAAATTTAATGGATTTCTAGTGGACTGATAACTTTTAAGAAATTTAAATATGCGACCCAATTTTTTTGGCTCCAAAGACAAGGGGGCCCACGAATAATTGTCTTAAGGGGGTTCCCCGCCAAAAAAGTAGCACCATCAGATTCCACATGTCATAAAATCCCAAATTTAGTGATTCTCGTACAACAGGGTTCTGAGATATAAAAAAAAGATTATTCTTAGGGGTGGACTTCGGGGGCTGTAACTCCGAAAGAGGGGGCCACTTGGCAAAAATAAAAAATACGGGTCCCCTAAATTTGTCTTAAGAATCTATGATCAAATTTTGTTGCATGAATTTCGGGACACCCTGTAGAGTAAAAGTCAGAATTGAAATTTTTAACGATTCATGCAATAAAATTGCATGATCGTCATAGTTCCTTTTAACCCCGTTTTTTTTTTTTTTTTTGGATATAATCAATAGCCTAATGCGGGACATTCTGTATACCTACAAAGAAATTCTTTTGTATAACCTTTGTTGTATTTTAGATTAAAATAGTGAAATCACTAATCCATATTATAAATTATACATCAAGGATTGTCGCTGATTACAGATAACTTGTTTAATGTTTTATTTCCTTCCAGTATTCTTCTAATCCTTAAATGAAAATATTAAGTGAATTGTAAGACCTGGATTAGTCTAAGATTAGTTTCACAACTAAATTGTGATATATAAATGCGTCTCAATAGTTATATTCCCAGTGCCAGTGGAAATTTAATTTTACAGGTTTAATGTAAGTGTCTATATTTTATGTATAAATTGCGAAATTAATACATTATTCGTTTTGCTGTTTCAGGAAAATGAGGTTCCTTTTTCCTTTACTTGCTCTGGGTGTCACCCTTTCCTTGGCTGAAAAAATCAGGTTCGATAATTACAAAGTCTACAGATTGATTCCTAACGATGAGGAGACTCTCGATATTCTTAAACAAATGGAAAACACGGATCAACTATCTGAGTATAACTTTTGGAGTCCTGTAATCAAAGTAGAAACCCCAGTAGATCTCATGGTACCACCTTACCGTGTCGATTATATTGAAAGTATGGCTAAGTCTAGAGGGATGAATGCTAGTGTGTTGATGGAAAATGTACAAAAGTACATCGATAATGAAGGTCTTCGACCACAGGCTAGGGCAGGAAGCTTTGGTTGGACTAGTTATCACACATACGATGAGGTATTCTGAATTATTTACAATATTTATCTTGCGTTAAGTATTTATTTCTTGTTTATAGATATAGTACAATTATTCTAGTTTAACATTAAGTTCTATTAAAAGCTTTTAATGTTCATTTCATTGGCTATTCGTAGAATGAGGCGTATATTTATTGGTATAAGAAATCCATTTTGAATCGCTTTAAAACTAAAAGATTACAATTTCTTTCTAGCATTGACGTTGAATAAACTAGTTTGCAATAGTGCCTAATATTGATCATCGTATCGTCATCGATAAGTGTCAATATTTTGTATTTTAATTTGAATAATTTGTAAATATGAAATTAATAAAATATGACCTAACCTTTTGTACAGATAATATCATCTCATCATGATTTCAGTACAACAGTTTTCTCAGATCATTAGCCACGAATTATCCTGATACTGTGACTCTTATTCGCGGTGGTTATTCCTTCGAAGGACGTGAAATTCTAGGAGTTCTAGTATCCTTTAGTCCTGCTAACCAAAACAACGCTGTATTCTTAGAATCTTTAATCCACGCTAGAGAATGGTAAGTTCTTTCAATTTTATGCAAATTTTATGTCAATTTTATGTGATAGTTTAACAGACAAATTAAAAAAATGGATTAACAAATATATGTATAGAGTGCTACAGACAAGCAGGTCAAGAAGTTAATCACAGATTATTCGAAAATAATGGCACTTTCCTTACGTCGTTTTCGTTTAGGGGCCTCTTTAAATGTTGTCCTAAAGAAAAAGGAATAAGCTTTGCAATTAGAAATTTTCCATTTTTTTGTTATCTGTCCTTATTATGTTTTTTCTTCAATTTTAAACTTTGGACTGCAGAATGTAGAAGTCTCTGTATTAAATTATGATAACGTTATCCACAACCGTCAGTAAAGTTAATATTTCAGACACCAATTAAAAAAAATGCGTAACGTCACCAAAAATGTCCTGTCACATGTCCAAAGAAGTTCGAAACTAAACAAAAATAAAATTTTTAATAGCATTCAGAAAATTTGAAAAACATATGCTTGATCCAGAAAACAAAATACCATTGTACACATACACATTATGGATATGCCTTGAAAAGTATGGGAAGGTAAATCACTTCCGTGCTTCGATTTGTTTAATCATAATTACATAAAAAAATTACCGGTTGAGAAATAGTCTCTGCAAAATCATTTTAACATCCCGCATCTTAGAAAAGAGGTGCTTATATAAAAAGTGGAAGGAAAGTCTTATTAATTCTTATTTAAAAAATTTGTGCTTACCTATATAGGCTTAGTGCGGCGAGGAGTTTAACAGGACCGTAGTCAGATTACGAATGAAAATATTAGTATCTTTACAGAAAATATGTCGCAACATAGTATTATTACCAAAGAGCGAGGCTAAGTAGAGGATAAAATACTTATATTTTAAATGACACCACTTACCCGATAGACCTTAGTGTTGAGACAAGACTTCCGAGGCATATTGGAAGGAGTTAAAACATATTACTACGTGATTTTCTAAGTTTTCTTTAGTGAAACGGCGACGTTTATCATTTAATATTAACTTGTGTAGGGAAAATGACCGATCAACGTCTACTGTTGACAACGACAGTATGAGAATTGTTGAGGCATGAACTATATATTAATATATTTGCTGGTAACTCTTGATATGTACCAGATAATACTACATACAGGGTGTCTCACGGTGACGACCCATTAGAATGATTTCAGAGACTACTTCGATTTGAATTTTGAAAATTTGGGATACCGGGTTTTCGGGCATGTCCTTCTGAACCAAAATAATGGCGTCCACGTAGGTACCACTTCCGGTTATTCCGGAAGTCACCACCATCTTGCTTATTTTAAATGGAACATCCTATATATTATTGCAATTTTGGTTTCTACTTGTTATTTTAGGTGGACTTTTATGAAGTTTCACTATTCCTAAAATTAACCGTTTTCGAGATATTTAATTTTTTTCAAAGAAATGGAGAGAAACAATGACCGGCTTCAAACCATGTGTATTTTATAGTAAGAAAGATACATCATCAATATTTATAGGGGGGGGGGGGGATAGTTAAACCCCTAAGCTTCCCATCCATATTTTCAAAGTGGCTTAATTGCATATAAGGTGCTAGAAATTTAATGTCGAGTTTAGTTAACTTCAAACCTTCATATATCGTTTTTTTTTAATGGAACACCCTGTATGTTTTCTATATTCCGATATACAATTTTATTCTCTTTCGAACGGTATTAGGGTTCCCTATACCTATCTCTTCCTAGTTTTTAAGTTATTTACTATTTTTTGTGTAATCACCTAAAATCATGTAATTTCTTGCAAGGATAGCTGTGGAATTTTTAGCAAAACTTCAAAACAAACAACTAAACTGTCACTTTGTTGTTAGTCTCTTGCAGTGACAGTTTAATTTTGTGTTTATAAGAAATGGAAAACAATATATATTCAAATGCTGATATTTTAAATTTATTATTCATTCACGGACGTTGCAATGGGATTATAAGCAGAATATGTACAGTTTTTAATGAGAGATATCCAAATTTACCACCAATGAGCAGAAAAAATTTAAGAAGAATTTTAGCAAATCAACTAGAGTATGATCAAATTTGTGCAGAAAGAATTTTACCAAAACCAATAACTTCAAATGAAGATAATGTAATAAATATGCTAGCCTATTTTAATGTTCATCCAGAATAAGCAACTCATGCCGCAGAGTATGATTTAGGCATTTCACGAGCGTCCATTCACAGGATGCTAGGAATTAATGATATGCATCCATACAAATTTAAGCTACTTTCTGCTCTTCATCCGGGTGACGCCGTGCAACGTGTACAATTTTGTGAAACGATGTTAGTGCGATACCAAGAGATCCACAAATTTTGCAATATATTATATGGACAGACGAGTAAAAATTTACGAGAGAAGGTATTTTTAATAGACATAATACTCATTTGTTGTCATCTGAAAATCCTTATGTTATCCGGGAAAGAAACTTTCAAAATAAATTTAGCGCAAATGATTTTTGTCTAGTTAAAGATAACCAAATTTCTTACCATATCTTCGAAGAAAATTTAAATGCAAACGGTTGTGGCAGATTTTCTAGATGATATACCATTAGACGAACCAAGGAAGTGTTGGTATCAATTAGATGGGGCTCCACCTCACTGTCACAATCGAATCGATCAACAGCTGACTGAAATGTTTGAATATAGATGGATGAGACGCCTAGGACCGTGGAATTGGCCAGTGAGGTTTCCCGACCTCACTCCATTAGATTTTTATGTTTGGGGAGTAATAAAGCAAAAAGTTTATTCTACACCTGTTGCTTCAAAATAGGATTTGATTGCTCAAAGAGCTTTCCATGAATTGCCTGCAGCTGAAATAGCAAATCGGTGACTGATGCTGTTATCTCTAGAATCCACAAGTGCTTAGCTATTAATGGGGCTCATATTAAACATTGTTGACTTTTTTAAGTCATTTTTTTATCTTATTGCATTATTATTATCAACATACATAATCAAAATTGTGTATTACTATGTATGAAGTTCATTTTTTAGAATTCTTCTTAACTTTATTCTGCTCATTGGTTGGAAAATTGGGATATGTCTCGTTAAAAACTGTAAATGTTCTGCTTAGAATCCCATTGCAACGTCTGTGAATAAATAATAATAAATAACTGGTGATAGTTTAGTTGTTTGTTTTGAAGTTTTGCTAAAAATTCCACAGCTATCCTCGCAAGAAATTACATGATTTTAGGTGATTACACAAAAATGGTAGATAACTTAGAAACTAGAAGAGATAGGTATAGGGAACCCTGATACCGTTCGAAAGAAAATGAAATTGTGTATCAGAATATAGAAAAACATACAGGGTGTTCCATTTAAAAAAACGACTTATGAAGGTTTGAAGTTAACTAAACTCGGCATTAAATTTCTAGCACCCTGTATGCAATTAAGCCACTTTGAAAGTATGGATGTGAAGCTTAGGAGGTCTAGCTATCCCCCCTATAAATATTGTTGCTTTTTCTTTCTTACTATAAAATACACATGGTTTGAAGTTAGTCACTGTTTCTCTCAATTTTTTTGAAAAAAATTAAATATCTCGAAAGCGGGTAATTTTAAGAATAGGGAAACTTCAAACCTAAAACTGGGCGTATATTATTGGCAACGTATATATTTTTTTGTACATCATCCATTATATAAAATTGTTCATTTAGAGATAGTCCATGTGATCCTAATTTACGGAATTACGGAACTTGGGGTTCTTTAGTTTGTTTAATTTAATATTGCTTGAAAGAAAGGCGTCTGTAAGTTCATAGAAAAATACCAAGTCTTCAGCGCTGGACGAGGCATGGCTCTTCAAATGTCTTGTCACTTTAGTTTTGTCAAAAGAATTTATAATGCGTTCACAAACAGTACAAAACAGGTCATTTCGTTTAATACGTATGTCCATGTAACCTTCGGGATCACTGTCAAACCACATTTGAAATAATTCCGGTCGGTTTCTTTTCTCTTTTGACATTTTACTTCCCTTCTCCCCCCAACTAATAGTTGTTAATGTGAATTATGTTACTATTTATAAAGAGTTAATTCAATACAATTTACAGCAGACGTAAAAAAAGAAAGATATCGACGCGACGCAAACTATACTACAAGGTTCCGTAAATAACTGAAAAATTCAAAACGCGAGTCAGCTGTGAAGGCCACCGACCCTTACGCCTGCTCTGTTAGACTCTGCGCTTGCACTAAGCCTAGTGATTAACAATTTAATTTTTTTGTAACACTGTAGTAGTTGAAAGCTAGGTTAAGTAGTGTATCTAAAAGCAATAACAACCAAATTTAATGCAACGTTTCCTACTTACGATAGGCTCAAATTTTATTTTACCAATTTTATCATATAATTTTATACTCGTTACTCTTCTTTGCAGGATTACTGGTGCAGTCAGTACATACATTTTAAATGAAATATTAACAAGTACAGACCCAGAGTTCCGTAGATTTGCTGAAAGGTATGACTGGTACGTTTTCCCTGTTTTCAACCCTGACGGATATGTTTTCACCCACACAACTGTAAGTTTATTCACTGTTAACAGAAGTATTTAATCTTTATTTTGAATATAGTGGTAAAATAATATATCTTCTTATACAGGGTGATCCGTTAACGGTTCGCTCAGCGGTTGTACAATGTTAATAGATTGTTTATCCCACATTCGTAGCAGTCTAGTTTCCTATGTACAGACGCCCCGTACCGTTAATGGATCACCCTGTATATTCTTATTTCATATTTGCACACAATTTCAAATAATATAAATACTAGTAGCAGAACCAACTTTTGCAAGAGGGTGTCCTTACCTGAGCGTTAATTATATAATTTAAACTTTAAAAGTAATACTTTTTGTATCATTTCATAGTTTGGTTTGATTACTTTGGTCTTTAATTAGTAATTGATTAATGAAATGTTACGTAATGCCAGCCAGGGCGTCACCTTTAACTTATAACAGTAGAATTTCTATTATTATAAAATACGATTCAGAAAAGTTGAGTAAAAATATTTGTTTTCCAAAATATAGGGCGCTAAAGTAATTTTTATCAGTTCTTTTTATATTTCCCAAACTTGTTGCGATTTAACTACCTCTATTATTATTAATTTTCGTAATTTTCAATGTTGCTTATTTTCAACATTTAATCTATACTAGTTTGTATTCCAAATCCTAAAACATGTTATTGAATTTGAAACAATGTTTGTATTCTTAATAGAACAGTATTTTCCAGAACAGAACTAATCTCGAAAAGAAAATGTTATGAGCCATTTTAAGTCAAGTAATATTCACTCTTAAAAATATCAGTAGCGAGAGTATTGATTTTAGTTGATTACATTCAGTTTACATCACAACATGCCCTCTAATAGGCAGTTCAATTGTTAAAAGTTTGAAAAGAATGTAATTATTAAGATATTTAAAAAATACACAAAAAATATTAGACTACAATGCCCTGTATTTTGGAAGAATCACCCTTTGAAATATTTTAGAAAACTTAGAAAACACCTTATAGTATGAATATAGGTGAGACATAACAGAATGGTACATCTATCAATGGTCACTGCTGTTCAATGCATATTGTCTTGCCTATTGAATTTTAATGATTACTAATAAGTCTGAAATCGGTATATGTCTGGTGGCTTTGGCTGACGAATGATTTTAGCTGTTTACTAGGCATTGTTGGTATATATTTATGCTATTGTGTAATGAAACTATTGCCTCTGTCTTCTTAGAACTAGAAAATGTTGTACTTTGATTAAATTTGGTTTTCCTGTCACACTGAGAAGAAAACAATAACTTTTGCGCTAAAAAAGGGTGTTAAGTAAAAAAGTAATAAAAAGATGCCACAAATAAATAACTACATTACATAATTACAAAATATATGCCTTCGTATTTTGTTAATGACTTTTATGGATTTTCTTTTTAAAATTAAATTGAGGTGTATTTTCAATGAATAGAGTGTCAAGGAATAGGGCGCTTTGTTCATTTGATGAGAATTGAAAACTTGAATTTGCTGAAGCAATACTTTATTATGTTGTGTATAAACTTTATACGCAACATAATAATAATTGTAAATAGTTACGTCCTACTGTAGAAAAAGATATCACAAAATACGTTACAGTTTGGAATCATCATCAGAAAGGACAAATGTTAGGAGGTTCTGATTAATCTTGAAAATTTCTCTTTTATTGTATGAATGAATGCAGAGTAATCACGTGAAATTATTAGATTCGACCCTGACTTTTGAAAATATTGGAAAAGCAAAAAAATATATATTTTATTTCTTAATTTTTCACATTTTCTTCAATTCTTCATCAAAATGAAAAAAAAATGAGTATCCCCCTGCACATACAGGGTGTCACATGGTGACGAGACATTAGACATATTTCAGGAACTATTTAGATTTTAATTTTGAAAATTTGGGCAACAGTGTTTTCGGGCATGGATGGCATTCTCAACTAAAATAATGGCGTCCATCTAACGCTTCCAGTTATATCGAAAGTTGACGTCATCTTTGTTATTTAAAATGGGACACCCTATATATTATTGCATTTTCGGATCGATCTTAGGTATTTTTATTTAAATTTTCAGCAAAAACTATTACAGACATAACTATAATTTGACAATTAACTTGACAAATGTCAAGTTATTTCAATTGTTTTTGGAGCGTCTCTGGTCATGGCCAATTTGACAACAGGTCTGATACGAGAAAAACTGTCCAAAGAATAGAAAATTGCAAATATCTCTAATAGAAGTAACGGCAACCCTAACAATGATTATATGGCTTGAAAGAAAATTTGAATTTGCATACGACAGAGTAAAAAAATACAGGTGTTCGACTTAAGTTAATAAAGTTATAGCTGTTTGAAGTTATCAAAATATAATAGCAAAAATGAACCACCTAATATTAAATGTTTTAATTTGTTGGTATACCATATAGTGTTAAACATGTCCTTTACAAGTGCCAAAAATCCGTTTGATATCACGCTCCTGAAAAGAGTTAGGTACTAGCATCTCCGCAGGAAATCTATAACTCCTAGATATAGGGAATATTTAATAAAGTAACCCTCTTTCACGTAGAATCCGAAAATGCAATAATGCCCCCATTTAAAATAACGAAAATGACGCACACTTCCGGTATAACCGGAAGCGTACGTGGACGACATTATTTTAGTTAAAAAGGTCATGTTCGAAAACACTATTGGCCAAATTTTTAAAATTAAAATCGAAGTATTTTCTGAAATATGTCTAATGTCTCGTCACCGTGGGAGACCCTGTCCATTTTTCCATACAAGCATACAAAATGAGACGTAATTATGTTAATTACGTCTCATTGTTTAGGCTAGCAAAAAATGTAAGATAGTGAATCATTCTGTTTTAATTAAAAGGCAACTCCGTAGCGTTATTTTAATTGGAACAAAATGCCAGAGAAAAATCGAAAACAATTACAGTCACACAAAAAAAAGTGTGATATGGTTTTGACCAAACTAGTATATCACATTGTATTTTGACACACTGAATTCGAATCCACTCTCAGAATTGCGCTTTTTTCTAAACTTAAAACATAATTCAAAAATAGCAGAAATAGACGAATAAAAATGAGAAAAAACTATAAAAAAATATTTTTCACATTTCTTAGCAAAGCTATATGTAACTGGACTCGCTGAATCCAACTCTACCTTTAGAAATCATACAGCACACCTCATTTTTTTCTAACCTCAAAACAATCGACCAGAAATCGAAGTTTGCAAAAAATGAATCATGAAAAATTTGGTATGTAGGGGTTTTTAGGTTCGCTATTCACGAATTTGAATTCAGAATTGCAAAATTCAACATGGCGGATCCAATATGGAGGACGAGATTTCCGAAATATCAACAAATTAATCCCGAATTGCATCCTGGGGGGTTTTGTGGGTTACTGATCACGAATACGAACTCAGAATTGCAAGTTCAACATGGCGGATTGAATATGGAGGGCCAGGATTCAATATGGTTGATTTTGATGTATACAAGCATCTCTAGATGGATGGCCTTTTTAAAACAGGAATATATGGACCTTTGAATAATGGATCTTTGGATGTATAACCTGATCTACTAAATCATACACAAAAGATACTTCCTGATGAAGCAGCGAACCCCAGACCTAACATAACCCGCTCATGTAAATCCTACTAAACATGAACCTCCTAATCAATCTACAAAGTTCAGACCTAACATAACCGGCCTAACTAAATTCTATGCAACATATTCATTTTGTAAGATCTAGTTGAGCAGGTTACGTAAGGTTTGGAGCTCGCAGCTTCATTAGGGCCTTTCGGTTATGTAGCATTTAGAAGTTTATGTTTGGTTTGGCGTTCGTAGCTTCGTCAGAGCCCTTCTATTGCGCAAGATTTAGTTGGGGAGGGTATGACAGGTTTAGAGTTTGCACTTTGATTGTGATTGTCAGCTAGCTGTTGCGTATGATTTATATGAGCAGGTTGTGTTAGGTTTGGTGGGGAAGATTATGTTAACATCCGAAGATCCATACATTCAAAGGTCCATCTATTTCTGTTTTTAAAAAGCCATCCATTTTAAGATGAATACATTCATGCATAAAATCAACCATATTGAATCCGCCATATTGGATCCGCCATGTTGAATTTGCAATTCTGAGTTCGTATTCGCGATCAGCAACTCCCAAATCCCACCAGGATCCAATTCTGGATGAATCTGTTGATTTTTCGAAAATCTCTTCCGCCATATTGGGCCCGCTATGTTGAATTTTGCAATTCTGAATTCAAATTCGTGATTAGTGAACCTAAAAACTTCTACATACCAAATTTTTCATGATTCTATTCATTTCTTGCAAAACTCGATTTCTGGCCGATTTTTTTGAGGTTATAAGGAAATTAAGTGTGCTGTATGACTTCTAAAGGTGGATTTGGATTCAGCGAGCCCAATTATATACAGGGTGATTCAGAACTTATCCAAAAAAATTCTGGATGTACAGGGGACCTTTACAAATACAATTTTGTAAAGAAAAAATCAAAAAGGTCAGTTCGAAATTGATTTAAAAATACACTTCTGCACGGCACTGTTGATTTTTCTGTTATATTGGCCTTTTATTTTAGGTTTTCTTTTAATAATAATGCAAAGTACGACACACACTTTATTCCATTTATTCCCAACAACAAAACTTAACCTTATATTCTAACCTTATTCCCTCTCAACCACAGAACTACGTTCTTCACTGAACATAGAACCAGGTAAGTATTCAGTCGGACCCAACCTAAAAATATGTTTTGATTTTGCTTATTTCTCCACCCTCCTTACCCCTCCCCTCCCGCGCTAGCCTAAGGGCCACCTTAGCAAAGCGCATCCCAGGCTGCATAGCCGCACTACCCTACCCAACCATACCACACATAAACATGACACTACCCCCGGGGTTTACACAGACGAGCCGGCGAAGCAAGAAGAGCGCCAGAAGAAAGGGCCCTAGCCGGCGGGGCCCAGCCAGGACAAAAGNGAAAGAAATATGTAAATAGAATTTTATCGCACCTATTTTATATCGGCAAATTCAAATGCTTTTGCCTTTATTAATTATTAATAAAATTAATTTGTGTTTTTAAATAATAAAATCATTTGACATACCCGATGCTGCAACAGCAATTGTTCAAAATTTTATCCACTCACGTGTAAACACATTTGGGTCCGTCTTACTCACTTTCTACGAACTAACACAAATGATGTCTTGCTTCACCATAACACAAATACTTCACCATAATACAAATGTTGTCTTGCTTCACCATAAATTAAAACGATATCCATCAACTCTGAGTTGCTATACACGCAAGCCATTTTTGACACTAACTACTAAAAAACTGATGTAAATACCACAGATAACAGGTAAAAACTACCGCAACGATGGATTTCAGTATTAGGAGTCACTGGGCTCTCCACGCGTATTGCGAATGACGCTAGAGACTACAGTTGTCCAGCTATGTAGTGGTTTAATGTGCTATATTCAATAATTTTTTTCTCAGAAACTATAAGGATTTTACAAATTTTTTTTTTTACAATATTGACTCCATTTCTCATGCCGCATCTATTTCCAAATTTGTTTGGATAAGTTGTGAATCACCCTGTATAGATATGCTAAGAAATGTGAACAATATTTTTTTTGTAGTTTTTTCTCATACTTCGTATATTTTTGCTATTTTGGACCTATTTTTTGAGGTTAGAAAAAAATGTGACGTGTTAGCGCAATTCTGGAAGTTGATTTGAATTCAGCGCTTCAAAATACTATATTATATACTAGTTTGTCAAAACCATATGATTTTTTTTGTGTGGCTTTGTTATTAGACAAAAATTGTTTTTTGATGAGTTAATTAAAATTTTGGCACCTTAATAATAATCTTTTTCTAACACACTACACTTTCTATGTCATTAGCATAAACACCAAAATCTATTTGTGATCCTAAGTGTTTTAACAGAATATATAGGTCTTCTATTAGAAAAAAAGATGGATTTGACATATCCCTGACGATGAATTGTTGTTTTATTGAAAAATATATGCCCAGTGAAAAATGTTGTTAATTTTTCCTTTTTTTTTACTGCGAACCTAACACTTTAGCGTGAAGATTTTGTACTTACTAATTACTTATGCTTCAGATGGTCATAATACACTAAACTAATTTAACAGTAATGTATATTGTCCAAAAATCTTTTTTATGTTTGGGATCGAATACAAAAAAAAATCGGCTTTGCCTTTCAGAACCGTATGTGGCGTAAAACAAGGGTGCCGTACGGAGGGTCGTGCTTTGGTGCCGATCCCAATCGTAACTGGGGATATTTCTGGAACAGTGGCGGTTCCAGTGCTCTACCTTGTTCGGAAACCTACCACGGCCCATCAGCCTTCTCGGAAACAAGCACCAAAACACTATCCCACTTTATTTCCATCATTGCTCACAGGTTTGTGGCGTACATCAGTTTCCATTCGTTCTCTCAGTTGTTGCTGCTTCCTTACGGACACACTGCTGCCCACCTGGACAACTATAATGTAACAGTAAGTACATACAATATCTATTTATTGACTAGGTGCTATTTTGGATCGATATTTCAGTATCCAATTGGGCTCAAGGCAGCTGAATCACTGGCTAGGCGTTACGGGACCAGATACGTTGTTGGAAACATTGTGGAAACTATTTGTAAGTTTAATTTTTAATTTAGGTACACATAAAAGTAATTTAATCTCTCAAACTTGATAAATTCAATAATAATAATATCATGACTAGAGTAAAAAGAATAATCTTACAGTAAGTTGAAAAAAACATATTTCTGGCTTTGACATATATCCAGATGGAAAGTGACATTTACCAGGGTGGAAAATGATTACTTTCCACCCAGACAAATGTCACTTTTAACCCGTGTTAATGTCATTCATTGAATAACGAAAATGTTTATTTCTAAATAGTTATTTACACCATAAAGGAGGTAAGTATTATCCGAGACTGGTAAATTATACTTAACTGTTGCGTGGTGTATAACATTTGATCTGCTCCCACAGTTCTTTATGGTTCATGAAATAAAGATTAGGTTTTATTTTTTGACATTTTTTAAACAATTCATTTTGACATTATTCGAAATCTTGCAAAGGTGCCTTGGTTGTTTGGATTTTGTCGTTTCTAAAGTGTTTATAATAATACATAAAAGTTGCAATTTTGCTGGTTTTGAATTATTATTTCTAAATGAGTGATTTTCAAATAGAAAAAGCAGCAAATGCTGCTTGCGAATTTTTCTTGCTCGAGAAGTCGAAAGTGTGCTATGAACGAGCATATAGAAATTTCAAAAAATGGTGCCAGAAGAAAAATACAGATGTTTCTGAAATGTCACTGCTAGTATATTCCATGGAGAAGTCAATAACTTTAAAGTCACCGGCGAGTTTGTGGAGTGAATACTCAATGATTAAGTCAACTATTTTCTTAGAGGAGAACGTGGATATATCAAAATACCTCGAGCTGAGAGCATTTTTGAAACGTAAGAATGACGGCTATAGGTACACCTAAAAAGTCAAACGTCAAACAAGAGAACAAGTCAACGATTTTCTCGTTCAGGCATTTGATAACACATATTTGCTAATAAAGGTAGTAACGATCGTAGGCATTGCAGGAGCATGTCGTTCTAATGAGTTATGCAAACTTACTTTGGTCAACGTCAATTTAAAAAATTTCGATGCCATTATTGTAGTTACAATTCCAGATTCTAAAAATGGTATGTCACGTAAGTTTACAATTACTTCTCGTCTGGGCTCTGTTTCTCACCTAGAAATTCTCAAGAAATATATCAAGATGAGATTGGAAATTGCAACACTCTTTTTATGCGCTATCAAGCAGGTAGATGTTACAACCAACTTGTCGGCAAGAGTACCCTTTCTATGATTCCTAATAAGATTGCAGAGTTTTTGATACTAGAACATCTTGAAACATATACATGCCATTCATTCCGAAGAACATCGGCAACGTTACTGGCTAATACAGGAGTTGATATTAGCATCAACAAAAATGAAATAGCCAACATTACAATGACACTTCAACTCCAGGTTGTAGTAGTACGTCGCATCATGCTGTTTTAATGGAACAGTCAGATGATATTGAGCCTCCGGTGATTGAAATGGAGCGGTCAAATCATTTTGAGAAAAATGTGACAATTAGTAAACGGAGGGGAATAATTATCCAGATTTTATAAATGCTACTAAATGTAATAACTGTACAATTACTATAAATATTCATTCATAATGATTAATAAAATGTAATGTTCATCAAATATTTCTATTTATTTGTTCATATAATATGCATTTATAACTCGAAATCGCTTTTTTTCCGTAGGGAGATTAGTTACCTCACTTACCTCCCGTTGTACGTAGTAACTTCCACTTCTACGGTAAAATGTACTTACCCCCTTAAAAACAGTGTATTAATAGTCTATTTGCTGTATTTGGGAGCAAATAAAATATCTTATTGTACATTAAAACATTCCCAACAAATTTTATTCGGATTAAAGTTAATCACATTATTCACATTAAATTTTGTAAAATCCTTGATTTCTTCGAATACTTAAAACACGGGTTATGTCAAATTCAGTTAGATTCGTATATTTCCTCTCTGTATTTGGTAATTCATATTTTCCTTCAGGTCTGTTTGGGATTCCTCTTTGGCATTCCTTCGCCGTTTCTGAAACCATAAATGAAGTGAATGCCTGCATAATCTTGATGAAATTTGTATGAGATTTAAAGAATTTATCCGGACACCAACATACGATCTTAATTTTATGAATTAGTTACCAAACAGTAATCTAAAAGTTTGACTTAGTTACATAGATACAAGACACGTTTATATTATTATACGTTGAAATTATAATAAACTTTAAATAGTATTAATAAATTATTGTTGTAGATGTTGCTAGCGGAGGAAGTATGGATTGGGTAAAAGGAACATTTGGAACTCCACTGGCTTACACTTATGAACTCCGAGACACGGGGGTATTTGGTTTTCTTCTGCCTGCTGAACAGATTATTCCCACTGCACTAGAAACTCTCGATTCTTTGATTACCATCCTCAACGAATATGAAAGTACTAAATAATAATTATATTTCTTTTTTATTGTTATAATAAATGTTTGTTCATTTAAATTTGTGCCTAGTTTTCCCATTCTATGAATTTCGGTTTGATAATAACCATTACGTTAAGTAAACTAAGTACACATAACTTTGGTAAATTAGAGTTTTCTTTAAATTCAGTAAAATCATTTATTTTTCTTCTTGTTAGGGTAAATGTGTATAATCGTACATATCCATTCATCTGAATCTATAAAAAAATTTCAATTGTAGGTTCTTTAATACTTAATATAACGGGAGCAAAAACAGGAATCTACTTTATCAACATAGTTTTGATAACATAAAGATTACATATTCTCGGTAGCTGTACTGTAGTTTAGCTTGTTGGGTTTTCACACAGTAGGAAAATGTACTATAGTTTTATAAATCTAAAGAATAAAGTTCTTCAACAGGTTCTTTATGCATAGAAGTTCTTCATATCCAGATCTGGCGGACTAGATAGCCATTAAACCGTCATGTAGGTACTGCTAAAAATATGGCATCGAATTTGTCCTCTTGCCTCCGAATTTCACGCACCTTCTTCAGCCATTAGATGTGGCATACTTTGCTCCAATGAAGAAGGCCTGGAGAAAACTTCTCACAGAATGGAAAGAAAAACACAAAGGCTGCATTCCAGTCAGAATTTCCAAAACTGCTTAAAAATACATTGGAAACAAACAGTAAATCAGGTTTCAGAGCAACAGGAATATGTCCATTAGACCCAAGAATTATGTTGAAGAAGATTCCGGAAACAGAATCTGAAAATGACAATGAAACAACGATTTGATCGAGAACTTTTGAGGCTTTCTTGGAAGACAAAAGATTTGTACAGTCATCTAATAAATCTCGTGACAAGAAAATTAAAATTGCTAATAGGCAATCAGTCAGATTTAGTGCGATTGGACCACCATCGCCCTGCTGTTCCTCATCTGAGGAAGAAGCAAGTCCCTTTGTAACTTCTAGTGAAAATGAGAAGCTCCCCAAAAATGGAAGAATTTTTCACATAACCACAAGTCGAGGATGAAAGTATTGTAGAACGTAAACAGATTATAGAGGTTTTGTCTCTGGGGGTCAAAAACTTGAGAAGAGAGAGATTCCAGTTTAGAATCAGAAGCAATGTAGTTGTACAATACCTACCTACCGTTGAATTTTAAAACTGAAATGTGACCAAATAAGGCTGTTTTAATTTTTTCATAAAGACGTTTTATTTTACCTTCTTATATACTGTGACGTCGTATTTTACTTGTTCGTCACTATGACGCCTGAGCGTCATTTACATTTATTTACAGTCCTATTCTACCTATTTACACTATTCTACTCTAAATCTATCGCTAAACGGTGATAAACGGCTACGGTTATGTACAGGGGGTGACTACGGAAAACGGTAAAATAACGGAGCGGTGTTAAGCGGTGACCTGACTAAAGCAAAGCACAGCAGAGCTAGCGGAACGGTAAAACAGGCAAACGGTTAATGCGGTAAGCGGTAGTGCAGATACCAGAAAGAAGGAAGCGATTTAGCAAAGCAAAGCTACAAACAATAACTATAGACTAGACTTGGCTACTATCTTTACACAAAAGCAATAAAACACTAACAGCGGGGCTCCTCAATACTGGCAGGCGGCTGGCAGAAAATCTCTGAAAGAAAGTTTGATTAATTACAACCTGCGTTTCAACTCATAGGACAGAAAAGGAGGAAAGGATGACAACATCCTATCAGCCGAACGCGCAGTTAGGTTAAGTGTACCGGAAACAGTACCGGAAACAGTACACCCAACCACGTCGTACCTGAAAGAAAAATAAGATTAACTACGACCTGCGTCTCTACTCATAGAACAGAAAGGAAATGGGACACGACATTCTATCAGCAGAGCGCGATGTTAGGTCGAATGCACCGGACAGTGACAACAGTGCACCCTTCCTTGTCGTATTCCTGCGGTTCTGTACGACCTGCGTTTCAACTCATAGGACAGAAAAGGGGGAGACAACATCCTATAAGCCGAACGCGCAGTTTAGGTCCAGTGCACCGGACAGAGACAACAGTACACCTTTTCTTGTCGTAGTACGGCGGATAACTGAAAAGACAAGATATGATTAGTACACACGGACAGCAGCCAAGTCTTTACCTATGTTCCCTAAACCTTGACGCACTTCTCTTCCTGGACACGTCTGGTCGGTCGGAATGCTGGAACAGGATTAAGTCTGCAGTACAATTATCTCGTCAGGCCTCTTGTTACCTCAAGAGACTTGCGCATTGAATATGCGCGGAACCTAACTTACTTCAGTGGTCTTCGGACTGGACTGGTGTTGGCGGCGGCTGGAGATGAACTAATTTTCAAAGTCCGTTTGTTTCCTAAGTCCTTCGTCTCGGATTGGCGGCTGCGCAGTTCGTCTAAACTGGATTTGTAGAATTTTCACCTATTTCCAGCGGTGACGTATCTCCGGGCAGGGCGGCTGGCGCCTCGACTGGACGCTACGACGGCTCGTGGTAGCCTAACCCTTCGAATGCAGCCTGTCTGCTGTATTCGTACGGCGAATACTGGCGGCTGCGCAGTTTCCTCAGGCTGGACTTAGTGAAATCTTACCAATTCCTACTGGTGACGTAGCTTTGACTGGAACGGCTGACGGCTCGACTGGACTCTACGATGCCTCGTGGTGAACTGAATCTTCGACGGCGGCTTAATTTCTAGGTCCTGGTGACGCTTCGGCAGCGACTGCGTAGTTCTCCTATGAGGGACTTGTAAAAAACACACACACACTTTTTTACATTATTTTGTCCAAATTCGACCTTAGTTTAATCTGTATTTAATTGAGAATAAATAACTGTCCTAATTCACCTTGGAGCGAATTTGGACACTTTTCATTCAAAAAAATATATATGTACAACCAAAATACCCAATTTTATTTTTTGATAAATCAGTAGAAGACACCAGAGAATATATATTATTTTTTTCAAATTTTTTGAAAACAAAATTCAACTATGATTTGCAAAACACCTCAAAAATCATCCAAATTCATCCTATCTTATGGTATGTCATTTCTGCACTGCTATACAAAGGCACTATTTCTGTCTGAACTTAGATTATTATATAACATTTTGTTTGCACCGTTTCAAGTCTATGTATTAAGGATTACTACAATAGGATTCATTTAAACCCTCAAATTTGACCGCTTAAACTTAATTAATGAGAAAACATAAATTGACACTATTGACAACACTTAGCTGCTAGTTATAATTTTTTTAAATAGGCATTTCCTCCTTTCTTCTGTGGACTGTGAATGAGTGAGTGGTGTTAATACATGATTGAGAACTTTGAAATGGATTCAGATTCTGACTTTGATGTATTGGATGATTTTAATATTCTGGAGTCTGGAGTCTGGAATTGTGGGGAGGGTAGCAAAGCTACAGCACTTAGGCCCCATTGGGCCTCTTGTACATCCTCCCATTAGAGAGATCAATCCACCTGAGCCTATTACAGTGAAAAAGGTGGTGACGTTGCTCAGGGGGATCTCTCTAATATAAGCCATTGAAGGCTAGCGTTCTCCCAACATGGACTCTCTTGTTGACGAGACGGCAGTGCATGCAATACTGTCTCGTCTTCCTGTGCACAGCCCCTACAAAGAGGTGTTTCACACTTCCCCATATTGTAAAGGTGTTTCCTTAGCCAATAGTGTCCAGTTTGAATACCTGTCACCAGGCGAAGATTTGACCTAGACATGGCCAGGTATTTTTTGGTTGTGTCTTTGCTAGGATACACTAAGAGCTCCTTAGCAAAGCGACAGCAGATTGTTTCATCCCACCGTTTCATAAATTCTTTGTGGGTGTCTTCCTTAATAATTCCAACAAGTGCCGACAACGGAAGTACACTGGAGGGACCGGGTCCAAAAATATTGAGGCCCGATGCGCTCCTGGCTAGCTTGTCAGCTTCTTTATTGCCATAGCACTGCTCGTGTCTGATATCTGATGTGCAGGGATCTAGAGTATATTCCACAACCTGCATACTCCTTCCTTTTTGATCCATCTGTGAAGACGCTAATTACATCTCCACGGGCGGTTTCTTCCTGTCTCTTAATGAGTATGGTGTAGGGTTTGTCAAATGTAAACCGGGGAGAAATGCTGTCAGTGTCTGCCTGCAGGAGGGGCGTCTTCCTGACGACCTCATTCCACAGGCGCCTTCTGACTTCTCCACATCCTACATCCGGTTTTAAGCCAACGTTCTCGAGGTGAAGCATGGTTGTCAAAGCCATTTCTCTTAGATAAATATTCAGAGGTGGCAGACATAGCATTACCTCCATTGCTATGGTAGGTGTTGTACGCATAGCTCCAGTTATGCTCAGACAGGCAACCCTTTGTACTTGGCTGAGCTTTTGTTTAGCTGTCGTCTGCTAGGATTTCGGCCACCAGACGACAGCCCCATAGACTAACATTGGCCTCACTATGGCAGTGTATATCCACATAACCACATTTGGTTTCATGCCCCAGGTTTTGCCAACGGTTCTGCGGCACTGCTCATAGGATATATACGCCTTTTTTAATCTTCTCTCAAAGTGAAGATTCCATGTTAGCTTTGCATCGAGTGTAACCCCTAGGTATTTCACATCAGATGCAAAGCTTAGCGTAGTGTTTAGGAGAGTTGGTGCCTTTGTTGGCCCCAATTTTCTCTTCCTCGTGAAGAGGACCATTTCCGTCTTCCTGGGGTTCACTGACAGAGCATGGTTCTCACACCACTTTTCAATAATTCTTAGGGCTGTTTGCATTCTTTGGCAAAGGATCCCTTCGAATTTGCTAATCAGCATAGTGAGGTCATCTGCATAAGCGATGGTATAGATGCCTTCCGAGTCGAGGTGGCACAAGAGACTGTCTAGAACTAAGTTCCACAGCAGTGGTGATAAAACATCTTCCTGCGGACAGCCCTTTGCAACAATTCCTCGCGCGGAGGCATCCCCCACACTGATTTGTATAACCCTTTTTGTGAGCATATTTGATATCCATCTGCAAATGGTGGAAGAAACCCCTCTCTTCATGAGAGCTGAGTTGA